AGAGGAAGAGAGAGAGAGGGAGAGAGAGAGGGAGAGAGAGAGAGAGAGAGAGAGAGAGAGAGAGAGAGAGAGAGAGAGAGAGAGAGAGAGAGAGAGAGAGAGAGAGAGAGAGAGAGAGAGAGAGAAATGATAAAAATGAATGTTTTGTCAAAATATGCATAAGGAATACGCCAGGAGGACCAACATGTTAGACAGAATGTATTACTTATGGTAATGCAAATCCTAACGTTGAAAGCAATTCCTGTTACAATAAGGCAGCTTCGAACACTCATATCTCTTAAACTTTTTGATAAAGGACTGTACCAGTTTTTGAAGAGAAATTAGAACCAGAAATTATTTTTAAATAGAAATTAAAATCTAATCTTCTGAGGCTACTAATTCTGCGTTGGAAAGTTCCATCATTCATATTCACAAATCCAAGCTTAATTTAGTCGCATTTAACGCAAAATTGGATTTTTTCTTCCAGTGCAAAAAAGGTTTATTGCCGTGTGAAGAAGTTGCAATATGTATGTAACCAAATAGAGGGACATAAAAATGATGTATTAAATTTCTGCACTAAGAACGAATATATATATATATATATATATATATATATATATATATATATATATATATATATATATATATATATATATATATATATATATGTATGTATGTGTGTGTGTGTGTTTAATTAAGGTAAAATAATGCTCGTTTTGCATAACTGAATAACAAATTCCATAGTTTAATACTGTTGACTTTATCCACTATAGTACACAAGTGCTCCCATCTCATATGCCTAGACATTTTCTGTGGCATCCTTGTGCCAAATTTTGGGCCATTTTGTGGAATTTATTTCTAGAAGTTCCTTATGTTTAAATGGAACGCTTACTTTCATCACTTACTTGAGAATGTACTTTCCCTGGTAAAGGTCACTGCATTTAAATGAAATGACCTTCAGCATAACCGTCAGATTGATCCGATAATCATTAACACTGTCCCCTGTTATGACCAGTTGACCACCGTCCGAGCTTGACCACATCCCGACGAGATCAGTGGGGAAAACACAAGCTAGGAACATTATGGAATAATTTTTCATATAAAAAAGCAAGTAAATAAAAAAATGAAAGCAACAGAAATAAAAGAATAAAATGATAAAAAGGAAATATGGTTTAGACCAGGGTTCTCAAACTCAAATGACCACGAGGGCATGAGGTCAACTACATCGCCCTAGGTCAGCATAGCTTAAACCTTTTCAAACGACAAAAGCGGTTCATATAAAAGGCAGCCAGTTGAACTGTTTAAAAGAGGAAGCCAACGTTGTGACGATCGAATTTTTATCGAAATTTGCTGCTTGCGAAGAAAAATTTGTATTTTTGATTATTTTACAAATTGCGGGTGTTGTTGGGGGTCGACAGTTTAGATAAACACAGACAAACGTGATGTCAACCAAGCAAATTAGCAAGGACGAAGACTAATTTATTATTATTATTATTATTATTATTATTATTATTATTATTATTATTATTATTATTATTATTATTATTATTATTATTATTATTATTATTGTTATTATTATTGTTGTTGTTGTTATTATTATTATTATTATTATTATTATTATTATTATTATTATTATTATTATTATTATTATTATTGAAGTAGTAGTAATATCATAACATTAACATCCTGAGGAACAGAAATAATGAAATAATTTTTAGTAACATGAACTGAAATCTTCGTAGTCGTCATCATAGTCATTATAAATGACAATGGTGATCATCATCATGACTAATGATAATAATAATAATAATAATAATAATAATAATAATAATAATAATAATAATAATAATAATAATAATAATAATAATAATAATAATAATAATAATAATAATAATAATAATAATAATAATAATAATGATAATAAAATTAATAATAGTAGTAGTAATGATGATGATGTTAATAATAATAATAATAATAATAATAATAATAATAATAATAATAATAATAATAATAATGATAATAACAATAATACACAATACTACTACTATTACTACTACTGTTACTACTACTAATGCTACTACTACTACTACTAATAATAATAATAATAATAATAATAATAATAATAATACATTTGATAATAATGATAACAATATGAATATGAATAATGTAGTGATAGTAGTCGTAGCAGTAAGGTTATTATGCTTAATCCTGCTACAAATAGAACTGTTATTACTAATACAATGCTACGGCTATAAATAGAACTGTTCTTATTAAAAAAAAAACTCCTGCTACAAATAGAAGTGTTATTGCTAATAAAATACTCCTGCTACAAATAGAACTGTTATTGCTAATAAAATACTCCTGCTACAAATAAAACTATTATTGCTAATAAAATACTTCTGCTACAAATAGAACTGTTATTGCTAATAAAATGCTACGGCTACAAATAGAACTGTTATTGCTAATAAAATGCTACGGCTACAAATATAACTGTTATTACTAATACAATACTACGGCTACAAATAGAACTGTTATTGCTAATAAAATACTATGGCTACAAATAGAACTGTTATTGCTAATAAAATACTCCTGCTACAAATAGAACTGTTATTGCTAATAAAATACTATGGCTACAAATAGAACTGTTATTGCTAATAAAATACTCCTGCTACAAATAGAACTGTTATTGCTAATAAAATACTATGGCTACAAATAGAACTGTTATTACTAATAAAATACTACGGCTACGATTAGAACTGCTATTGCTAATAAAATACTCCTGCTACAAATAGAAGTTTTATTGCTAATAAAATTTTCCTGCTACAAATAGAACTGTTATTGCTAATAAAATACTCCTGCTACAAATAGAACTGTTATTGCTAATAAAATACTACGGCTACAAATAGAACTGTTATTGCTAATAAAATACTACGGCTACAAATAGAACTGTTATTGCTAATAAAATACTACGGCTACAAATAGAACTGTTATTGCTAATAAAATGCTATGGCTACAAATAGAACTGTTATAATAATAAAATACTACGGCTACAAATAGAACTGTTATTATTAATAATAATATTACTACAACTATTCCGATGACGAAAACAAAAATCTTATTGTTGACGACTATACTCACCAGCACCAGTTCCATATATATTCATTAGTAGAAACAGAATTAGAACCCGTGTCTGCATTCTACCAAGTGTCCTATAATTTAAAAAAAAGAAACCCTCAGCTTGAAAATTTAAATCCGTGAAAAACGATCCTATCAGTTTGAAAATTTAAATCCTTGAAAAAAGAAAAAGTAAGTTCAAATTTTAAACCAGAATTAAAATTGTTTTGATTTTGAACTAAAATAGTTACCGACATACATTAAGTAAATGGAACAAATTTTTAACGTCACAGAAACATCGGTTCAACAAATATAGTCAAGGAATTCCACCTTTTACTGATTACAGGCAAATAAACTGGTTTTGACGTGCAAGAACTACTTTTAAGGTCAATTAACGCATAAATAAAGAAGTAATATTTAACACAAAATCTACAAAGTGAGCATTGTCAAAAGAGTGGCGTTGTTGTAACTCCAGCTAATAACCTTGATGAAAGCAATCATTGTGTTTAATTTCTTTCACGGTACACGGGAGTCAACAAAGATTGAAAGAATGTCCATAATGCCCTGAAACGGCCCTGTAACCGTCTATTAACCATATATTTGGGTTCAATTACATGTACGCGCCCTGCAAGAGTTTGTCCCTTATGTTAGTATTCCTGCGGACAATACAAGATTTTCACTAACGAGTAAGCATTTTAATCACAAAATCGCAAGCAATATAATATTTTAAAAAGAGGACAGAATTTAGTTTAATTTATCTTTTCCTGATTTTGATCTAGAAAAAAAAATATGGTCAGTTGTGGTACTTTTGGTATAACATATCAAATGTTATTATTTAATCATCCGTTTAATTTAAGCATGATAAAATTAAATAGCAAGGAAGATAATAAGAATTTAATCATAAAGTTATGCGGAATCTTCTTATATGATTATTTCCTCTAATTCGCAAACGTTGTCCATTCCACAGCGCCAGATTTACCCCTGTGCAGGCCTCTAGGCAGTCGACATCTCACCCCACCCCATCGCAAATTATCTCCTAATACGTCAAGATCAAATCAATTCAATATATTAACAATTCCTTAATACTCGAAACTGGACGGAAGCGAACCATATCATAATTAGATAACTTATCAGCAATTTATAGGCGGTTAGAATCAATCAAAAGCCTTGTTATTTAAAAAAAATTATTGTTAGAAATTCATACCGTACAAGGTATGAATTTCTGCACAAAAACAAAAAACATCGGTTACTCTACAGAGGTCTTCTTAGTCCAATCTTAAGGTCTGCAATACCACCTTTATAGAACATACACTTGTACACTGTGGACATACCTTAAAGTTCTGTTTGATAGCATATGCAGCTTTGACCCGCAATGAAAAAAATGTTATTTGTTTGGAAACATCTTCCATTTGTACATTTTATGATCACTAGCGCGATAATTTAAACACAATTAGTTGTTCTAATAGCAGTCCAATTTGTCATACAAATATATACAGCCTATTTAGGCATGCAGTTTAAAGTTGGAAATACAACCGCCTCCTCCTCTCTGTCTCTCTCTGTCTCTGTCTGTCTGTCTCTCTCTCTGTCTCTCTCTGTCTCTCTCTCTGTCTGTCTGTCTCTCTGTCTCTCTGTCTCTGTCTCTGTCTCTGTCTCTCTCTCTCTCTCTCTCTCTCTCTCTCTCTCTCTCTCTCTCTCTCTCTCTCTCTCTCTCTCTCTGGGGAACAAGATGAAAAATAGAAATGATAATTTAATTGTCCTATTAATTTCTGCTGTTGAATCATTCAAACATCTAGTTAATGTGAAATTATCATCAAATTATCAGACTTTTCATAAACTTGAGATGATGCTAATCCAATTGTATCCATGGCAATGCGGTTGTTTTTGCCTAAAATGCTTGCTTGTTGACCGCTCCGGTGGCCCAGTGGTTCAAGTGTCCGCCTCAGATGAGAGAGGTGGTGGGTTCGATTCCCGGCCGAGGCA